ACATATAAAATATTTGTACCTAAGATTAAACAATCAGAATAGTATACTAACTGTGGCAACCAAGAGAGCAATCTGTTTGGTTCTTTTAACAAACTTCACCATTGATTCTGTAATAGTTACACTAATAGCTATCAAATATAGCACAACCCACAAGCAATTTTCTCAAAAAGTATATGAAGTAACTTGTAGAAATGGACAAAAGAGAAGATCAATTTTCAATCATCCTTTCCGAAATTTTTAACATAGTTAAAAAAAGTCACCAAAATAGCAAAAAGAAATTGCAATAGTTACATGAATGACTATGACTTGTAGTAAAAGATTAAGTTTCATGAAATAGGAGGAAGAAAACTTTGAGGAATGAAACACACTTTATAAGAAACTTAATTAGTGTATTTTAATCCGACTTCCTTATAACAGAAAAAACCCTACAAATAATATTGGCAGAAATAAAAGTACTGTTTACTAACCAAAATATATATGAAGAAGCCTGTTGAAAAGGACAAAAGAGAAGATCAATTTTCAATCATCCTTGTTGGGATTTTTAATAGAGTTAAAAAAAACTCACCAAAATAGCAAAAAGAAATTGCAATACTTACATGAATCACTATGACTTGTAGTAAAAGATTAAGTTTCATGAAATAGGATGAAGAAAACTTTGAGGAATGAAACACACTTCATAAGAAGCTTAATTAATGTATTTGAATCCGACTCCCTTATGATAGAAAAAACCTACAAATAATGGTGGCAATGTAGAAGTTTTGCTTACTAAAGAACCAAATGTTATGAATTCAACCATTACATCAGCTTTATGAGTTGTGGATTAAGAGGCGCAAGAGTAGTAATGTTACATTGCAATTGAAATCAATTTTCTTTGTTTATTCTTTCTTCTTTTGGTGCCTTGGAATTAAGCGTTGAATTTTAAAAGGTGTGAATGGAAAATGATAAGTTGTGACTTTTGTGAAAAATTGTGACTTTTGTAAAGAGTTGTGACTTTTATGAAGAGTTCTGATTTTTCTAAAAAGTTCCGACTTTTATGAAAAGTTCCGACTTTTCGGTAAGGTTGTGACTTTTAAGGGTAAAATAAGAATCATGATCAGTGAGGGCGCCACATAAGCGGATCTAAGATTCTATCTTTTAGGAAATGAAATTAATCTGGTCACTTGAATTGAATTTCTTACTATATTATATTTTATTTTATAATTTTTGTTTTGTCTTCTCCTAGAATCATAGATTAGTTTTTTAGAAAAGATCTAAATTAAAGAAATTTGGTCAATGCAATTTATTTTATTTTCATTATTAAGTATATATAAACTATTTTTACACATTTATTTTTAGATTAAAATAACAAAAATAAGTTAAAAAATTCGTCCAAAAAGGTCTATTGTTCCAAATTTCCCTCGGAATTCCAGCGGGTCTAAAAATCAACTTCCAAAAATTGAGGTGGTCTCGACTCACGAGAATAGAAGTAGAAAGTAGTCCTAAATCACATGATCCCGTCTATAAATAAACCTACTTTCCCATCTATTCCTTCCTTTTTATGCAATTTGATCGATGGTTGAAACCGATGATAAGTGTGGTGTTCCAATTTCATGATCGATTTGAATATGTGACTTCATGATTCTCATACCAGACCACGAGGCCACTTGCTTGGATTCAGTCTAGGTAAGGTTTTATTGAGTTTTCATATTGCACTTCCTCTATGAGTATTAAATCTTGGGTTTCTCTATCTAATTGTTGAACTAATCATGAATAGAGATTAATTGGAAAAAAAGTTATCTATGTTGCACTTAATAAATCATTGCATAACATGTGTCTATTACATAAAATTTATTTACTTTACCATCGATAATTAACGTCTCAATTGGGGCCATACTCTTCTGGAGTTATTTTTCGTTAAGTTTAGAGTCGAATTTATGCTCTTTCATCCTCTTTCGAAACCCTAGCATGGGGAACGACATGGTATAGGAAACCCTAGCATGGGGAATGACATGGTGTAGGTAGTTTTCTATTTTCTTGGCCAGTAAGGCTTCAGTAGATACCAAGAAATAACCTCACATGTTAGATTTGAATACGAGATTTCATGATTCTCATACCAGACCATGAAACCACTTGCTTGGATTTAGTGTAGGTGGGGAATTATAGAGTTTTCATATTGTAATTAAAAATATGACATCTGAACTTAACTCAATCTCAAAAGCTAGTTCATTTCATTCTCCAACCAACATGGACTCTAACATCCCCTTCATGCTCAGGCCCAACTAGAGTATATACTAAGAGTCTAAACTAGGATGAATCTATATGTGATAGCATGTAAAGATATGTCATCTAGGCTTAACTCAATCCTAAAATCTAGTTAAGAAGAGAAGATTGTTCAAGTACATATAAGAAGACAATTAGTCCATTTCCTAACTAACATGGAACTCTTAACACATTTTTTTAAAGAGAAACGACATAAAATGACACTTGAAGTTGTCCTGAATTTTCGAAAGACACCTAAAGTTTGCATGCGTCCTATTACCCCATGAAACTATTTCAAATCACAATAAATAAACACTTATGACCCATTTTCACAATAGTTATTTTATCACATTTGATAGGCGCGTGGAGGAGTAAAAATACACCCCCAAACCAATGTAAAAATGACATGTGGCATTGACAATTTGAATCTTCTTCTTTATTAAAAGACTCACTTTCCATCTTCTCTAAAACCTCCATTGATAGATGTTAAAGAGCTTTCCATCTACAACCAAGAAAAAAAAAATCCCCATCCTCAATGAAATTATCATCTAGCTTTACTAGCTTCAATTTCTTCCTTTTATTTTATTTAAAAGTTATGAAATCAACTAATTTGTAAATCTTGAAAGTGCAATTGCAAACAAATTTCAAAACTAAATCAGTGAAGAAACATTCAAACTCAAATCAGTCCTAAACTAACACTACACACACATGAATAATAGATAACACAAGAAGAAAATAACAACAAATCACTACTATATAAAAAGAATATTTTTTAAACCAAAATTTGCATTCAAATCAAGAAACAATTAACATGTGAGCCTTCACTTCTTCGTTTTGACTCCATAATTCAAGAAATTATCTCCGCAAAATAAATTTATTGTGACTATTGAAATGCTTTAGGGTTTTGATCATCAAAGAGAGAGAGAGAGTGGAGTGAAAATCTAAAAGGGGTTTACGGTTAAATGGTGCGGGTCATGATTAAAATGTGAATGGGTCAAGATTTTATTCAATTTTTACTAAATAGATTGGAAAAAATACTCCCGTTGTCCCTAATTACTTGTTTACACGGCTTGAGCGTGAATCTCACCCCAATTAATAATATAATTACATACTCCCTCTGTCCCTAATTACTTGTTCACTTTTCCTTTCATAGTTGTCTCTAATTACTTGTCCATTTTGACAAATCAAGAAAGGACAATTTTTTTGACCCATTATACCATCAATTAAATGACTAATTACTTTGAAAAATGTAGAACTTTTCATCCACTTCATAATTAATAGGAATAAAATGGTACACTCACTATGTCATTAATTGTTTTCTTAATATGTGTGTCATTTCAAAAGTGGACAAGTAATTAGGGACAGAGGGAGTATGTAATTATATTATTAATTGGGGTGAGATTCACGCTCAAGCCGTGAGAATGCAGATTGTGTAAAAAGTGTGTATTTATTGTGATTCTGAAATGTTTTGTGGGATAATAGAACACCCGCAAAGTTAAGGTGTCTTTTTAAAAATTCGAGACAACTTCAGGTGTCATTTTATGTCTTTTTTTTAAAAAAAAATCCTAATTACTAGTTTGGGAATTGAGACATAATTGACAGATTTTAAGTAGTTTCTCCAAGCGTTTAACGAAATTTTGTGGAGACCTTTGGTTTTTGAAGTGTTAGTAGGCAATTGACTAGATGGACATAGCAAAGATATCAATGTGTTTTGAGTTTGATGGTGCTGATTTAAAAATGATTTTTTTTTTTTAAATTTGAGAGTGAAGTACTAAGTATTAACAATTTGTCAAGATATGCCCATCATGTTTTCTTTTCACCATCATATATAAATACTATTATTTGAATAGATATTTTCTCTCAACAAATATAGTCACAAAATATGTTCTTCCTGGAGTAAACATCATATAGATTTAACAAAGGTTTCAATACAAACAGTAAATTTAGTTATAGAAAAATATACAAATGTTAGCTTTGTTTTCAATACTGATTAGCAAGGAAAGTGATCAAGCACAATCTTAAATCTTTATCTAAAAAATGATACAATTTCTTATCATCTACTCAATCAATCACAAAATAAATTTTTTTTAAAAGGGCAAAGCATCATCAAGAACCTATTTTAGTGCAAAATCAAGAACCCAACAAATTTAAAAGAGAGAGAAAAATAAAAATTAAGATAAAGACACAAACTTGAAGCGAAAATATGAAAGAATCCAGAATATACAAATGAACAAAAAAGAAATACTATCAATATAACTTGAAACAGTATAACACTAACACCTTCTCTTTCTTTTTTTCAACAAGGAGAAGGATTAAGTTCGTCGTAACATTGTGTAGAACGAATTTTGTGACTATATTGTGAATTAACTGTAATCAAACATTCCTGAACTTTATATTTGTATTAGTAAAGTTGTAAAATTATTTTTTATACCAATTACTACATAGAAAAAGCATGAGACTTTTTTGGATAAAATAAGATTTATTTATTTTATAATAATAATTTGGATCTGATTCAGATGGGAATGGGATTAATCTTTGGGATAAGCATAAGATTTTTTTTCAAAGGTATACCAAATATTCAAACACTTGGCTGGGTCATATATACAATCCAATGTGAAGGCTGCATTTGAGTTAACTTTGACAAAACACAATTTGGTCCATTATGATATGATAAAAGTTATTCCTAGTTGTATTTTAATATCTTTTATTTGCTCTATAAATAACTTAAGAGATTATAACATCCTCAAATTAAAGCAAGCAAATTCAAAGAAATATACAATGGCCTTTTACAAAGTTGGTATCCTTTCTCTGCTCCTATTGTCTGGTAAGGATTATTTTATATACCGTAAAATCTCTTTATAATCAATGACGTTACGTTTTTTGTCTTGATAATTATTGATGCAAAATATTGTTATAAAAAACCTATGATATACAAAAAAAATAAATAGCAAAATAGGTCACCTTTACCCTATTGTTAAATTTTGGTAGCAACTAATTACAACCCTCCACATACACAAGCTGCATATATTTTAATATAATACCATTGATGACGTGGCCATCCAACATGAAAAAAACCTTGGTTAGAGGATGATTGTTATAGAAAGGTCTGACTATATTCTGCTGCACATCAAACTTTCAAGCTAAAAAAATGTAATAGATACCTTGCTTATTGTGTTGATAAAATATTTGGGTGTTTTTCATAGGTATATTTCTGCTGGGAATTGAGGTGGAATATGGAAATGCTCAAAAGATGTGTCTCCAGGTTTGTGACAATGAAGTTGCTTACATGACTTGCCCCTCTTCAGGAGATGAGAAAATGACTGAAGTATGTGTCAACTGTTGCACAGCAGATGAAGGCTGTAAATTATTCCGCGCTGATGGATCGTTAATTTGTACTCGAACCCCTGAATAATATATATATATACACTTAGTAAAATGTAATCATTAAATTCATATTCGTTTGTAATAAGACCTGAGTTATTTTACTCTGGAGATTCGTAATAATATTTGCATCCTATAGCTATTTTGTCTAAGGTTTTAAAGATTTCAATAATCATCCTATATATAGCTATTTTCAGCCACAGTTAAACTGCTCCTTCTGGAATTGATGAAAAATCTTGTCTGAGTAGACACAAATCCACCTTATATCATAAACTTCTATACAAGCCATCATCTTACCTCATCTCATGTCAAGATTAGGAGACTACGAGGCACTTCATAAGCAATGTGGTCCTCATACAGAATTATACAACAGGAGCGTTGAGCTTATCAAGTCTGGTGAATACAATGGATCAGCAGATTGTAATTACTTGGTCTGGATTTCCTTTAGTGGTTTAGGAAATAGAATGCTAACTTAAGCTTCTGCTTTCCTATATGCTCTTCTTACTAATCTAGTCCTACTCGTTGATCCTGGAGTTAACATGCCTAGTCTATTTCTGTGAACCTTAATTTTCAAGACGTTTCCTGGTTGATTTCCCTTTGTTCAATCAGTTTAGTACCTTTGATCAGCCTACGGTTATATGGTGAAGCACGATATAATCGCCAATTCATCGACTCTAATGACTATGATTGATCAAGATAAATTATTTTTCTGTGACCACAATCAAAGTTTTCTCAAGAAAATCCCCTGCCTTTTTTTTCATCCCCTGGCTAGTCATGAAGACAAATACTTATTTTGTGCCTTCTCTATTCTTGATCCCATCATTTTAGCAAAAAATCAGTAATCTTTTTCCGGAAAAAGTAACCATCTTCTATTTTCTTAGTAGATATTTGTTTTGAATCCCCCTAATTCTATATTGGGGCTTGTAAAGAGGTAGTATCAAACTTATTTGAAAAATTAGGCATTCAAATTAGATCAGTCTTGGAGAGAGGTGACAGTCCTTTTAAGTATGTAGTGGATCAAATCATCGATTGTACTATGAAGGAAAATCTGCTGCAAGAAATCAACCGGCAGTGAGGCTATAGTCCACGAAGCAGGGGAAGACCATTGCCGTATTGATAACTTCTCTAAGGCTTGGATACTCAGAAGAGTTCCAGAAAATGTACGGACAGGAGAGATAGTTAGCTTTTATCAGCCAAGTCAGGAGGAATATCATTTGTCGTTGTATTTGTAAAATCACAATAGATGGCTTAACATGGCATATAGATCTTAGTCATTGTTTATTAGCATGAATTATGTTTGAAGTCTTAGTTTTTATACATATATAACTATCTTTGTCACAAAATGCTTTCTCTTAATAGTTATTATACTTGAAGACTACAAACACGTCAGTTATAGGGAGATGACAATGTAGACAATTAAATTCTAGTCTGCAAAACAATAATCAAGAAAATAATGCAATAATCATTTTTATTGACTTCAGAATATGAATATCACAATCTCTATGATTCCTCTGATACGTCTTTTCAGATATAAATTCAAGGGCTCTTGAGCTTAATCTTGAACTTGATCTTGGATTCAAGGGCTTTGGAGCTTGTTTTTTAATCTTCGATGAACTTGAATTTTATCTTGACGTTTACTTAAATTCAAGGGATTCAAGCTTGTTTTGGATCTGGTAGTCTTAATCTTGATCGTTCATGAACTTGAATGCTTGAATTATTGAACTTGTAGAGAAATCTGCGGCTTTTGATCCACAAGCTCTCTTTGCATTCTTGTTAGAATTCTGGTCTCTTTTATCTGAATTATGAGACCCTATTTATAGTTGTTGAATAAAGGAGTTGTGATAAGAATAGACTTCTCTTCAGCCAATCAAATTTAAGTGGCATGACATATTGGGTTTTACGAAGTGGCTTGTCATTTTGACACATAACATGATTCTATTAGTTTCTTTGTTTGACTTCGCATGACACGTCATTTGACATGTGACACCAAATTGGGTCTCTAGGATGAGATCGCATGGGGCTTAGCAAATTGGGCTCATTTGTCATAGCCCAAATAAATGGACTAGTCCAATGAATTGAATTTGGGTAAATTACATAAATCTCATAGTTTTACTATGAAATTACAATTTATCCCTAATAAGTTTCTAATTACATTAATCCTTTAAAAATTAAAAAAATCGGATACAATAATTGAAGCTTGGATACATTAATATGTAGCTCGGATACATTAAAAACTAGCTCAGATACATAATATGTAGTTCAGATACATTAAATATTGGCTCGGATACATTAATATGCATCTCGGATACATTAGAGAAATAAGGGATTTTGGAGATTTTTAAAAGTAATAGGGGATAATAGAAATAAATGAAACAAAAGGTGTGTATTTCTGTAATTTGTCCATTGAAGTTTAATTAAATTCATATTTATTGATTTAAATAATTAATTCAATTATATTAATTCACAATATTTACTGGACTAATATATTTTGAATTTAATATTCTCTGAATCATTTTATAAATTTATTTTTAATAAATTTTAAATGATTACAAACACATATATAAAGTAAATATTAAATGAAGAGAGAATGTATCTTAAAACATAAATAAGGATAAAATAGTTCAAATCTAATTAATATTTTCTTAAGAGACGTATAAGATAGAAACACGACATATAATTTAAAACAGAAACCGCATTATTAGCTCCACCACATTAGGTTTAGGGAGGGGGAATTATTTATTAAAATAGGAGAATGGAGAAAGAATCTCATCACCTATCCCCCCAAAGCCTATAATTGGGGTGAAAGATTGACTAAACTAAACTTTAAGACGATGAAGAATGAAGAAAAATTTACGCCAGGCATTGTTATGGACCTAATATGGTTGTCACACATATTCATACATCATTAGGCTTACTTCTCACCTTATAAAAGTTTGAACCAAAATTCTCCTTTTTATTGAAAAATATATAGAAAATTTATATAAATACACAATTTAAGATATCATAATCTATAAAATTTCATACTATTTAAGGATAAAATAGTCCAAATCTAATTAATATTTTCTTAAGAGACGTGTAAGAGAGAAACACCACATATAATTTAAAACAATTTAAAAAAGAAACCACATTATTAGCTCCACCACATTAGGTTTAGGGAGGGCAATTATTAAAAGAGTAAAATTTAGCTAGGTTTAGCAAACATAAAAATCATATTTGTATGCTATTGCTATAGTTTGCATAATTGCGCTCCATTGCAAAATACATATTTGTATGCTATTGCTATAGTTTGCATAATTGTGCTCCATAGCAAACTTTATTTTGCTATGGAGCATCAGATTGTATAACTCGCTGGCAGGAGCAGATTTGTATAAAATCGCTGGCAGGCCTCTCATTTGTATAAAAGCGCAGCAATTGTATATGCATATCAATTAGATAATTGTATATATGTAACTACTATGTATATGTATCAATGATTGTGTTTGTATATCTCCATAAAATTTGAATTTGTATACAATTGAATCGAAATAAAACGTTTGTATATCAAATCTCTCTCTCGCTCGCTTTATACAACACAAATTATACATTGTAATTTGTATAATATGTGTTTGTATAAAGCGAGAAAGAGAGAAAGACAAAAGAGAATTGGGGTAGGGGAATATCTGTATTTGTATAATTATAAATGTATAGGACGAAAATATATGTATTTGTATATACAATTTTATCTCACTTTATACAAACATAAACGCATTTTATACGTTTGTGTTTGTATAAAGTGAGAGAGACGAGGGAGAGACTGGCGAGCGAGAAAAAACTGGAGAGAGAGGCGGATGACAACTGTTTGCTACGGGTTACAATTAAATCAAACTGTTATTATAACATTTAGTTTGAATTAATAGTTTGTTATTTTATACAATTTTCCCTTATTAAAATAGGAGAATGGAGAAAGAATCTCATCACCTCTACCCCAAAGCCTATAATTGGGGTTAAAGATTGACTAAACTAAACTTTTACACGATAATGAAGAATGAAGAACAATTCACGCCTGGCACTGTTATGGGCCTAATATGGTTATCACACACATTCATACATCATTAGGCTTACTTCTCACGTTATAAAAGTTTGAACCAAAATTCTCTTTTTTAATGAAAAATTACATAAATACACTATATAAGATATCATGATCTATAAAATTTCATACTATATAAGAAATGTCACGACCCGAGCCTACACTTTGGACATGAATGGCACTCAAGAATTATTGTTGGTCCCCAAGCAAATCTTCATCCCGGCTTACTACAAGCAGACAACTAACTTAAGCATACAAAAGCTTAAAACTGAATTAAATTCAATAAACTCATATACTAAACCGTTTTAAAGGTTTGTACAATACTCAAAATAAAAGTAAGTACAGAAACTCCTCAACATTGTCTATCTATGAAGCCTCTACTATTACAGAAGGATATCGGTACAAGACCCACGACATCTCAAAACTACTAATTATAAGATAAAGGTGAAGTCCTACGGAATATAAGAAGGCTCACCAAAGCTGACTGGAACATCCCATGACCTCAACGAAACGCTTGTTGATGATCCTAAATACATATATCTGCATTATGAAACGATGCACGCCAAATGACTCAGTACATGGAATGTACAATCATGTAAGGGGTATTCTAAAGCGTAAACATAAGCTTGAAGTGATGAAAAAGAAACATACTTACCTCTTCTCAACTCACTCAACTCAACTCCACTCAACTTAAAGAAACATAGCTCAACTCAACTCAGAGAAAATACGGCTCAACTCAATGATAACATATTCAACACAGTGAAATAAGGTTCAACTAAATAATAAGATACTCGACTTTGTGAAATAAGGCTCAACTCAATAATAAGATACTAAACTCTAGTTACTCAACTCTGGATAAAGCAACAATAAAAGATGCAATATATGAAAAGCTTTTAAACAGTAGATAACAACTTAATGTATTGAAGAATACAATATTAACTCAATTTGTATATACAAATACAATATAACTCTGTGGGAGATTCTCTAATCGACAACCATCACTATGAGCTATGTGATGATACAACGTCTTGCCTTACGCTGCCAAGGTCGTCTTATACTTTG